CATCGAGGATTTTACAGTTAATTGGATAAAGTCATCTAGAGTTCTAGGTGGCACCAGACATAATACAAACGGAGCTCACGTTTTATGGCATAGATTAACTTTCTCACCTTGATTTATTATACCAGTATTTTCTTAAAAATGCTGGATAGAAATGAGTCTTCAAAAGCAAGCGTTCTAGTAGCATGGAGGCTTTTCTATCGCATTTACTGAACTTTAGCAAATTTATAGATTTGAAAACATTCTACATTTCCCGTCACTATTGCATCTCTCACAGGCTATAGTAAAACTTCACCGGTAAAAGTAGTCTGACCTTGCTGTTAATGACCGCAATATGATATGCATGGATGAGAGTTGGATTTAAACTCGTGCGTCCCAAAAAGTTGAAATTAGAGAAGCTTCCTTAACCCATTTTTTAAGGACCGCTTTAGGTGCAATATTACTGTGGATGGCTGACGAAGGAAAAAGAAAGGCTCACATATGGTGGGTCATATCTGCACACAGCTTTGACAAAATGGATTGAGAAACTCAGTGTTTTAGATTGAAATAACAACGACTGATAGGCATCAACTAAGTGCTTTGGCGCCTATTTTTAGCCTAGGTCTCACTCCAGTTAACTTTTACTCAATGCATTTTTTTATCTCGCACATGCATGTACAACAATTTTTGAACAGAGTACTTGCATCAGGAAACGGATGTCAGGGGAAGTATTGATCGATTTTAGCACTGAAAAATGTTGCATTCTTGGACTTTGTGTTGCGTCAAAAAGTTTAGGTAAAAACAGCAGGTCGTTGGCACAGTACGAAAACTCTGATATACGATTTTCCGGAAATCTCATGACTTGGATAGTTTTGTACAGATCGACCTTCTGTTTCGTATTCTCTTTATGACGCATTTAAGCCATGCCTAACAAATTCTCTAGCTTGTATGTGCGCCTCAATTTATTTTTGTTGCCAGCAAAACACTATATTGTAAACAAAAAAAGAGCCTCCGACACAGCGTTGGTAATTTTATTGTCGTGCAGATATATACCTCATATCAGAGGAGTATATCAGAACAAATTTATGAGCAAATTTACTAGCCCAATCAAATGTGACAAAATCAAACAGTTTCTCTACAATAATGGAGAGTACCGATAACAATTTTGGGTAAATCACTCTGTTTGAAACTGTGCAGTTCACTTACTGGGTAGCTTAACTATAACAGCGTTTCTGATAGCCTATACACAGTATAATCATAATTTTTTCGACTACCAAAGAATCCTTCGTGGTCACTTCCCACACAGATGCAGATTAGCGCGCAAACTTTTCTTGCTATGGTAAAGCCCCTTCGCATCTGGGGTTTTAGATCATAACAGTCAAGATTTTTGAAAAATTATATCAGGTTGTGCAATAAGCCCTTACATCACAAAAACTTTTCTACTTCTCCAAATGTTATTTATTAGTGGACTTTTGCGTAGAGAAATTACGATAATCCAGCTTTGTGTACTGCCTCAATGTTGTATTCAAACATCTAGGAATTAAACAAAACAGTGTGCATTACTTCACATTGGTATTCAAACCTGGTCACCTGCCGTGGAGCGAAGTTTGTACGACTTTCTTATTGACACCGCGCAAAATACAAAGATAGACGTGGTTAAAGCTTTTATCGTCCGCAAATGTGTGAAAGAAATAATGAGAAGGGGCCTGTCCTTGTTGGAGTGATTGTTAGCACTAAAAGAGAAGCACCAGGTTTTTCTTTTATCCTTTGCTCGAGCGAAGTGCGCCACTCCTAAGCAGCAACACTTGAATTGTAATCACACTAATAAATTGAAGGAGTGTATACTGGTAATCCCATTTCTTGTCACTGGGAAGCCAAGAGCTTCACAATCATATCGAAATGAACGCAAGATCAGTATCATAAATTTCAGGTGCAGCCTAATCACGCTGCTGTTAGTACAAAGAATTAGTCGGCTGAGGTGGAGTAAAACCTTGTAAGCGTCTATTTTGATTAGAAACAGGGAAAATAAGCATCCAAGTTGCGATCACTTAAGCTTTTGGGGCATTCATCAGTGGACAGTCTTTTATTGTTTCCCCCTCAACCGACAGATTTTACTCGGTGACTCGGCTATACTAATTAAATTATTCACGTATCCAAGTGGTGTACCGCTCAGCTATTACCTAGAATGTTATGGGCTCAAATCTTTCTAAGATTGGCGGGATTTGCGCTGCCGAAACGATCATCCGACGTGGATGAATCGGTTTTTTCGATTCTCTTTGGATTTTTAGAACGTCTGATTCTCCTCATCCACAAAACGTCTTGATGTAAAACCATTACACCCCATAAAATGTCATTAAATCAATCAGTCGACATACTAGAATTTGATCGGCTGTTAAGGAACTATTCTCCACTTTTAGCTGCATAAAACCACCGTACTCGACATCTTAACGCGATTTCGTTTTATTCTGTATAAAGTCATCAACTCGAGATTGTGCTAAATTTGGGAGGAGTTTTTCCCTAAATTTGTTGCCCTATCCAGTTTCACAGTCACTAGATGTAAAACTATACTTCCAAATGAGCTCTGTGTGTGACATGCTCATTTTAACACAAACTCGTAATGTATTCTGAGGTACTAGTGGCAAATTAATGAATACAAACCATTTGAGTGCAAGAAAATAAAAAGTTATGAAGTGAGAGCTTGTCGGGGTCGAAAGGTTATCCTTGTATTTCTGCAACTAGCTCGATAGTAATTTCAAGCCTGTTTCCAGTCTGGTGTACGGTACTGTAGACGATATCTGCGGGCGATTGTATGCAAACGTAGAGGGAGAACGGGTGATTGCTATTGATGTCTGTAAAAAAAATCGCACAGGAAGTTTTCCGCTTCAATAAAATTGGAGAGTAACCCCCGTGTAGGCGTCTTCCGATTTTATAGTAATCGTCAGTGAACTACTCATAAGTCAAACATCTATTTCAGTGTAAAAACTTCGTGAAATTGATAATTAAGCCTCAAAGCGATCCCCAAATTATTTCGCACGCTCTGACTAGAAAGTACGTTAAAGATGCCAGCTTCGAGAGTTGGAGATTTCCTCCATCGAAACATCTGGCAATGTGAATAAACTTTATTTAAGGAATTTTTATATTTACTGTTGAAATCTCATCAGATGTTTATAACAGATGCTACATGAAGTTTTCTACAGAAGGCGAAAACATCTTTTTGACTAATGTAGTGCTACTCAAAAGGCCTATGCGCGTGTAAAATAGTAAGCTAACTCACGGAGTTGGGAGAAACATTTTTGTACCGATTTCTCCCACTAAAAGTGTGATCACATAGCTTAAATTATACTCAGGTGCATCACGTTGTCAAGATTTCTTCTCGATCTTGATCCATTTTCGCGTGGATGACTTCCTACAAATGTGGGCTATTCCTATTTTAAAACAAGCACTATATTTGTGAAAAAAGGTTGGGACTACAATCCTTCAGTGCTTTTTACTTCTATTTGCGTGCCAATGGGAGGAATTATTTAAGTGTATTTATTTGTCTATCATCAAGGCCATTACACAAGGGATGAACCGGACACTACTGGAAAGTTTCAAGTTTTTTGCACAACTAAATGCATTGACCACATCTCTGTGTTTAGATGAACCACACTGAATATGGTACAATGACTGATACCACCTTTCAGGTTTGCATGTGGTATGGCTTTTCTGTGGCTGAAGTGAGGTGTCATCCTGGAAATGAAACTGGTCCGTGCTGAAATGTCGATTAGCGCTTTGGACACTGAGTATTTTACGAATTTATGAGCACTAGTATAATACTATTAAGTAGGTCCCCAGTGGCCAAAAAGCTTGTACCTAGATATCCTTCATCCAGGTAGTTCAAGTCATATGATCCTCTCTGTTGGGTTGATTAGCTAATCCAAATGATGAGTTATCAGACAGAGGGGCCCCACTGCAGTAGGGATTTATATTTTTCTGGGAAGTGAACTCCTTGTTTGCAGACTGTTAGGGAGCTCAAAATTTTGGCTGAGACTTTATCCTTTAAGAGTCTGTGTTGAACGGCACCCCGGAGCTCTTCAGGAGCAGTCGCAATCAACGACAAATAGAGAATCTGAATGACCCGAAGGCTGGGATCCACTTGACTGACCAGATTATCACTTTTTAGAAGAAACTGAAAAACAAAACTTACTCATTCTGAGTGCTTTTTTGAAACATTTGACAACATTCATTCAGCAGTCTGACAATGATCGCGGGGGTAGGCTGACATTGATCAGTGAACACATCGCACCAACATAATTTGCCTTCAATTGTGGGAGTGTGCGACACGGATGATTTTCCCAACAAGCACCCTTCGCTGTCACAGATTTGCTGGCAAAACGATCTGTCCGCATATCCTGGAGAGTTTACTGAGTAAATAATCTGCCAAGGTAATTCGAGTTTTGAAATTACCCTTGTCCTTTTGTAAAAGTACCACGGGGCGCAACAGCTGATTAGAAGTGTCTCGAACAAGTAGGAGTTGGAATACATACGTGGAACTACTTCACGTCAGCCGTAGTTAATCTGGTTGGGTATCTTTTCGGCAAACATTAGTTTGTAAGTTCGCCTCTCCATGCGAGTATCTGTCTTTTTCTTCTGAGTATGTGCGTTTGAATTCACATTTGGGAATGGAAGGCAAAAGTGCTTCGGTGATTCACGAAGATGCAGTGCTAGTCTGTCAATCCGGCTGCTCCAAAACTTCATTTATAGCCGCAGTCTCTTATGCCTTACTTACTGCCCTCTTGGTGTCGAAATATGTCCAAGGTATTGTTCCTAATAATGGCTGAATTTTATTTGATGTCCATAATGGGATTAGGCAATCTATCAGCGGTCTTTGTAATTGCACCGTGCATTAGAAACTTTTGAGTCCATTATAATGTTCTGATTTCGCTCCAACAGAAGAGAAGAGTTCACAGATTGACTAGAAGATACACGGAATTCATTACTTACGATACATTTTTACGGCTAGTTATTGCCCTTATTGTTTAAAGGATCCCGAATATTCTTCTATCATCTCAATTCTCCACAGCTCAGACCCAGTCGGAATACAAACGACCCCCAGTTGTATTGTTCGTACATGGGGAATCCTACGAATATGGTTCTGGAAATGCGTACGATTTAAGTGTTCTTGCGGGCTTTACCGGTGCTGTCTGCATAACACTCAACTATCGGCTTGGGTTGTTGGGTAAGTCCGTTTTGTGCACATTTTTCGGATTACTGCATCTATCCTTAATTCTGATTGGTCGATAGAACTCAAATATGCAGAATTTGCTAAACCGGAGAACATACAAGAGAAGTTTGACACAAGGACTCTGTCTTCAGTTTTCCAACATGTTCTATACATTCATAGAGCGTATAACGATGAATACGGTGAAGCTCCTTTATAATGACCACATCTGCGGAAATGAAAATGTATTCTCATAGGATTGGAAAAACCTCCCCTACAAAGTCAGTGTGTCCCTGACATGACCTTGCTTCCAGGACGGCTCGTTTGTCCTCTGTGAAAAATGAATATATAATGTGTCATGTGAACGACTCTATTAGTTGCTCTCCCGAACAAGCTTGAGGATTATTGTAAACTCTTTGTAAAGATTATTTTTTCAGTCTGTCAATGCAGTACGGATGAATGCAAGTTGCATTTAGTCTCATACTGAATTCACACTTGTTAGGAAGCCGGTTATAGAACAACAGCGACGCTTGGAGGTGAATTTAATGCACATAGACCTCTGCTTCAGTCAGTATATGTGTGTGAGGATACAGAGATGTCTTTTCTCAAATACCACTGAAAACAATCGAACTAATGTTTTTTACGTTCCAGAAATAGGGATTCATGTTACAGACGCATGGAGCTGTGAATCCTAGTCAGAGTTCATTATGCTGTTATTTCGTTGATTCAGTCAGGTTAATCAACGAAGAGAAATTAGACCCACACGGTTTCTTGATCACCTGGTTCGGGTGTTGAATCATGGGTTGCGGCATGTTTCTCAAATGTTGCACCACTCTGGTTGTCCTAGACCAAGCCCTAATACTTTGCGGTAAAAGATCTGAGACAAAAGTTTTGGTTGAGGGCCTCCTGTCCAGATCTGGGTGCACTGTCAGTAGCTGAGCTCACATAAAGGCGTAAACTGTAAAAATACCAATACCTTTATCTCATACCGGCCCTCACCAGGTACCACCAGACCGGCCGCCTTACTTGCTGCGCACAGCAGGATTGTATGTGAAAAATGGCTACTGCCACTGTCGACACTTCCCATATTTTTGCAGCATTATCACCCAAACCCATTCCCGTCCCGTTTAACGGCTGTTCTCCTGAAGATCCCAGCCATGGGAACGAAATGACCAATGTCACGGCAGCTGTCCGCTTCTTAAATTTTGTTTTTGTCTCTTAACCTTGACTTTTCGAATGCGAACTCTGAGGTAAATCTGTCAACAGGCTTTTCTGACGCGCTCCCTCAATAATTTGTCGATGTAAATATGCTGCATTTCTGAAACCTGAGTACATGGTTTTTGAAAAACTATCAAACTTGCGGCACGGCTACGTAGAACTTACTGTCTACAAACCTCATTCCGTTCTAGATCTGCTCCAGTGGGTTGGTGGTTTAGTTCTTTTTATGGCTGTCAGCTACTTAAATGAGGTTTCTCTACTTGACTGGGTCCTCATTCACCTTCAAGTTGTTTGTTATTCAAATCTCATAAGAATCCATGATGACATTGGATCCTTGACGCTTTCAAGCATGATATGAATGTATTTCCTTCTTGCTTTTTCCAGGGTTTCTTTCACTTAAAGATGGACAGAGTAATGGGAACTTTGCTTTGTTCGATTTGCAAGCCGCGCTGCTATGGATACGAACAAATATTGCACGTTTCGGGGGTGATCCTGAACAAATAACGCTCATGGGTTATGGACATGGGGCCGCGCTGATCCACCTATTCTCACTGTCCAAATTATCCCAAGGTAATTCACAGATCAGATAAAACCATCTTCTATTCACTAAATTTTACGTGTCATTTTTGTCTTGATAGCCAGTAGGATGGCCGCGTGCAAATGAAAGCAAACTTAAATGTAAATATCAATCGGAAAATGTTTGGGACCGATAGGGAAGTCATCGTTTTAGAGGGGTTTGGTAAAAATCGACGGATATATTGCTAGGCAACGTTTTTCAAGCTTTTTCCAAGCAAACACTAGGTACACGATTGAAAACAAAATGCAAAACTTAGTCACAATAGTGTATCACCCTTATCGCGTTAGGACCGCAGTAAATCACGAAGTCTCGCATATAACGACCAGAAAGCAAGCGGTTCGAATGACTGCATTGCAGATGGACAACTCAAGTCGCGAGGTCGCACAGTGTGTCATTGCGTCACGAACACTCAATCTGAAACTGTCTCTATTTCTCGAGCGTTTCAAGGAAGATCAGAGCGCAGCATTTGTTACTGGACAGAAGCTTTTAGTATACATTCATGCAAAGCCGACTGGCTCGGCTTTTCATTGCAGCCCGAAATTAAGCGCGGTGACCTGTAGGAAGATACACGAAGTCGCTAATCAAATCTATGAGGTAGAAAGTTTGTGATTTGGTGCTCACCACATGACATTTGCACATTGTTGCCATACTAATTCCGAGTCCTTCAAGGGTTTCAATCGTACCACTCACCCAGAACTTCAATATTTCTTACACTACTAGTGAGTAGCGACAAATGTTGGATCGACTAGTGTTGCATTGTTCCCCCTCAAGTATGACCTTTCGGAAAAGACGATGGTTGTAAAGGTTTAGCTAAATGCTTACGTAATCTCAAAATCATCTCGCAACGAGGAGCATTTCAAATCAAAACGGGTTTTCGTTTCACAAGGGCTTGGCAAACAATCGATAGTTTTTAATTGGGCAACGTTTCGCTTTTGACACAAAAGATTAATCAGGCCAACTGAGCAGGTCATCAAGTCGGCCAGGTTATAAGGTAGACGGGGAACCAATCAGTAAGTCCTCCTCGGATTATCACACTAGATCTTTGGTGTGTAAGCAAGCTGATGCTTTTTTTGTTTTTCTCGCCCAAATTTGACCATACGGTAGCGATCAAACAATTTCTGTGGGGTGGCGTTGTTTGGATTTTCGAAGGTGAAAGACCCAAACGATTCACAAGCCAATCACCATGTAACTAATGACCTTTGAACAGTGTTTCAATTGGTTTAATCAATTTCTGCGGTGAGCTTAAAAAGAGCAAAAACGACAATGTCTAGATTTGTTTTATAACAAAATCAGTACATGCACTGAGCTCAAAATGCCTCGCACACCAAAGAGTTTCAACATCTGAATTTTATAACAGCTCTCTTTCGAACTTGAAAATTATAGTACATACGCCCCTAAATGTTGATCTTCTACGAAGGAACAACTCTCAGGGCTCGAGCATCACTAGTCAGCAACAGGATGTTTCAGCTAAGTGTCAGTATCAGTCATCTTAGAGATATTTACGGAGTACTAACCCCCTCAAATGGCACCCACTATAATACATACTTCTGCAAAATGGTCGGTAACTCTCTGCCTGTGTTTGGTTTCGATTCCTTGTTTCTAGCATACAGCTTGTGTCTTATTACTTATGCAATGTGCTTACTTTTGATATTTTTTCAGAATGGAAATTAAGCACTTGATGCTTTTTTACTTATCAATATCAGCTTCTCTACTCTCGTTTTCGTTCGATTTTCAAAAACAGAAATCACCTGTCATGTTCAGGTGGTATTAAAACATAGCATTTGCTACTTTTTATCCGCCGTAGGGTTTGGAGCTCATGGCATCAGGCGGATTATTTTGCTCAATGGCTCCAGTTTGGCTGCCTGGGCTACCTCCGGTTCAGAAGAACTTGTGATGAGAGAACTGGCAAAGCAACTGAATATCACAGATGCCGTGGAGTTGGAGAACTCAAGTCAAATGAAACGGACAGACAACCAACCTGCCCCGATTCTCGGTGATTCCTCTAAACTGACGCCATTGAAGACACACTCCGAGGTCTTTAAAGCAAATGCTGCATCGGTGAACCAAACACAAGTACCAAATAATACTACTAAACCCAAACGACCGTCACTTTCACAACTACTCGTCAACCGACTCAAACAGTTGTCGTTTGATAACCTTGTTCGATTACAAAAAAATCTTACGGCACTACCATGTGCCGAGCGTCTGGGTCCAGTAGTTTCGAAGCATTTATTCACAAGTCTTCTAAGCAGTGATAAATATCTAAAATCCAGAGAGAAAACGGAATCAAACAACAACGGAAAGCCGTGGACAAGTCTGTTTTCCAAGGTTGACCTGATGATTGGATTTGTTAAGCAGGCAGCTGACAGGTTTTACTCACGGTCGAAAACGCATGGAATTGAGTCTTCGAGTTTGCTGCAGTGTCTTCATTTTATGTACCCACAGAATCAACAAGTCATTTCCGACGTGCTCCAATATCTGTACAAAGACTTTCCAATACAGGAAGTGGGCAATACTGACCCCAGTTTGGAACATCCTGACCACCATTTGGCGGTAAGCTCATTTGCGATTGAAAGTTTGCGCATTTTTAGCCTAAGCATGCATACCTGACATGTTATCTTGTCATCACTTTGTGTCCTGTGCGTTCACATCCAATAGCAAGAACGGGAGCTTCAGAAGATACAAAAATTCACACCGTTCAATACTTGCATGTATATGCAACCTAGTTGATATTGTGCATTGCTTTAAGTACAAACTGTCTATGACATCACTGAAGTTCTTCGGCGAGCTGAGTTTTGATGAACAGTGAGCACGACCATCAATTGGTCAAGTTCATTGCTCCCACCCAGGCTTTTTTGGCTTCATCGTCGTGCTACCTAGCTGTACTTCTTGCGTTTGAGGTCGCACCAGAGAAATCCGTCGTCATTCCGGCAAGATATTTCCCTCTTTTTCATGATGTGTCAAATGCTGCACAAGTAACCATGTTTCTGTCTTCAGGCGGCTTAGTCGAGAAATGGTTAATCTCAACTTATGGTGCGAAGTGACAAAAAATTGTTGGAGGATACTACTACTTATAAGGTTGCTGAAAACTCTTCGACATCACACTAGCAGTTTCGACCAACTTGGAGCTCACAACGTTGGCACAGCCCATGCGTTTTTGCTAGCCCTATGCACTGCCTGAACACAAATAGTGAAATACACTCACTTGCAGACTAATTTTGTTGTGACAGTGGACTCACACTGAATGTCAACTGAATCGCTCGTTTATGATTCCCCCCTCAACCGAATATGCTGCACAAAGGCTGTCTCATATTTCAGTTGTTATGATATACGCTACATCTCACTACCTTGTTTAGACGGAACACGGGGCTCACAATAAGAAACAGATGTTACTGCCTTCCAAAGGACTTAAGTGGTCCCGCAAATGGGCTATTGATTAATGGGTATTTCTCTTGAATTGTGCAGCGCGTATAACCGAGTGTGGTGTACGAATCGGTGACACAGGTTTCTGGAAGGCTTGAAGCAGTATACGTTTAGCGCCGGGTCCTGAAAAATTGATCTCATTGGAGCTATAATAAAACCTGCCCAAATAGTTAGAACAAGGATTAAGCATTCTTGATGCGCCTCCTTTACTATTTACGATGGAACTGAAAGACTACTTCGAAAATGCAAGTTGAAAGATAATGAAAAAGAAAGTGGCTAGAGGGTTTCCATGAAGTCCTTTTTACGCGGCCAGGTAGATAAAGTCTACAGGATTTCCATACCTCAAATGGCGATGGTACACACGGTCTGAGAGGATGTTCAACTGCTTCAAAGACGGCGAATCAAAGACATTAATTTCCACAATATATTACCACTACTTCAGGCGTTTTGGCTTTTTTTCCATTCTTTGATGCGCACTATGCGCACGTACTATGTAAGCTAATGTACGAAAAATCGTCGATCGTGCATATGGATGATGACAGTTACTTCAGTAACCACTTGCTTAATTTATAATGGCTCGAAAAATTTGGTGTTTCGGAACCACAGTGCATAGTACTTTCGTGGTGGACCAGCTGGTGACAGAACTGTAGCAATATCCGGAATTCGGGAGAGCCTTGCATTTTGTCACCTTGTTAAAATTCTGCTGACCTGAAAGTAATCTAGCCGTGTTTCTCATAAGGGTAGAATTTAGGGTGAGTCCATGTGATGGTATGGCCTAATATACTGAAAGAATTGGAATTTCTGCGTGCTAATCAGACGATAATTGCCTTGATTCGACAGCGTTTGTTACAATGGACCTCGTTATTGTCGAAACTGCCATCACGCCAGCATCGCTTGAAAATTCCTACGTCTGTCCCAGCATGGTGATTCTGACTAGTCACCACAAAATCTAGGGTTGGGGTTTTGCTCTTGTTAGACCTTTACTTGGGGATGTCGCGGAACGTAGGTAGCTCGGTTGTTCTGGTTGCTAAAGCCTCATCGCCAATAGAGGCAAAATCATCATTGCACTGTCCGGTGAACAGACCAACAACCAAAGGCTCCTCGCATATTCCAATCCCTCTCGCACTCTCACAAGTCCCCCAAATCCCACCCAACACTGTACTCTACGTCCTGTAATGAAGACCAGTAGTTAAAGACGACCCTTAACAGATCGGCTGAGCCCAATCCACCGTCTTGTCCGACTGACCATTAAAACAGGCAGACTATGTGCTCAGGTTTCAGACTGCAATAAAATTTGTGGTTGATCTAAGCACTGAGAGTAAGATGTAACATCTTATGGGCACGACGAAGGTAGTCTAAATTTGGACCGAGAAGAGGAGTGCAATTAAGGTGAGTTAAAACAAATAAAGTCAACCGTTTCTTCAAGTCGAAGATTATGAACTGCTAGGTCAATTCAAAAGAGCGTAAAATAACGAGTTCATCGAGCATTTTGGTGAATTTTTATCGGATAAACTTTTCAAAAGTAACAGTAACATTTTGGAGCAAATAGTCTCATCAAGATAGTGGGGATAGATAGTAAAGTTCTACATACACTTTGAGGACAGTCAACCAATGAAACTGACCCTAAGTACGTGAAATAAGCAGAATACGAAATTACTTTCAATATCACCCCTGGTTTTTTGAAATGCATCCAGTGGCTATACACATTCTGTGCCGTGTCGGAATCAGAACTCATGAATTTGACGTACAAGGCCGACGAACGTCAACAGGGCTGTTTAGATTTTCCGTCAGGGCTTCCAAGACAGGTAATACCACGAGGTTTGCCACCTCACTGGACATTGCGCCACAAGTTGAAGGCAGTTGCTTATGGTCAGTACGGTGCAATCATGGATGTTTCAAGTTAGTTTGACTCGAACGGAGGTTCGATATACCATGCTCACTGAACGAACCTCCAGATAATGACTCGATTAAGGGACCATTTGCACGAGACAATAATTTTTCTTGGCACAATAGGGAACGCCTTACAAATGAATGATCCTTCCAGTCTACTTCCAGCTTGATGCCGCTCCCTAATGTACGTACTTTTCAGAGTTGTGAACACACTACCGCGAACAGAGCTTGCGCGAGGCAGCACAGTGAGACTGGTGACTCATGCGCACAAATATTCCCAAGGATGTTGAGACATCCTACCGGTAGAATGCATTTAGAAAGCTTGCGTTTCATGTAAGGATCAACAATCCTTACAAGTATAATCCCACTGAGTCTTAACAGCTCAAATTGTTGGTGTGGAAAGACGACCCCTCTTCCTCCCTTGATTGACGACAAATTTACAAAATACGGAGCGTTGTTGAATTCTGCGCTTTTTTACTGATATCCATGGCGTGGCTTCTTTTGTGTTGCGAATAATTATCGACTGATGGAATTATCATCCGCTGATTAATCTAGTTACTTTTAAATGTATATATGGTCAGCAACCGGATCGACCAGTGTACAATTGATTTTTAACGATGGTTGACAGGTACACGCCACAGACTGTCAGAATGTTGACTAAAATCAGGGCCTTTTAACTTAAATTCGCAAGTAAAATCACCTAAGCCGGATTTGAGGAAACTATGATCAAATCATTTTCACATGAAAGGTCACCATCCTGCGAAACAGGATAAATAAAACAATGTTTTTAATTTTCTCGGACCGCGAAAGGGAGGAAGAATCGAACTAGACATCGTTGGCAGAACCCTGGTGGATACAGAGTAGCGGTGAAATGACTTCATGTAATACAGTGTCTTTTAGGTGAAGGGGCATTGATATGTTGACTGCTCATATCGACCCAGTTCAACGACCTCCATAGTTATTTATTGTTCTTGAGTGAAACTACCAAAGTGTACTTCAAACAGCATGTTAACTGTTTTGTGTTCCATTCGCTTGTAGCAAATGCTCACCATTCTCTCTGATGGGTTCTACCGAGCTCCTGCTTTCCAAACGGCATCACTTCATCGGAAACTTTCGAATACTGTTTCGGCCGAATCGAAAGTTGCTGGTTCGAGAAAAACTTTTCTGGCTAGTTTTACACATCAGTCGACAAGCGCAGATCAATCAGGAACGTCTGAACTCCGGTCAAAGAAAGTTTTGCACGGTCCTGGCTTTGGAGAAGACTTGGCATACGTACTTGGAGCTCCATTGGTCAGTCCAAATAGGGTAGACCCGTTTGACGGGGCATATTCCAGATATGATGCCACCATATCTCAGAACATGCTCAATTATATTGCAAACTTCATAAATACCGGGTAAGCTGGCATTAGAGTGTTCAGATATTGGCATTGACTTGCATTATTTTCCAACTTGTGTCTATCAACCGTGATTCTAAACAGTTCACATCATACTTACCTTGTGTTAATTTACTAATCGACCATTTGAGCAATACAGACGTGACATTGTTTATACACACTTCACTTAACTGATCATCCGCAGGCGTATCAGTTGTGGACTACAGTGTGTACCTGTTTGTTTTTTTGGTTTTCAGAGCGTTGTAGTCAGTTACAGAAGTTGTCATGAGCGACTGGTCAGTCTGCGAACTTCCGTTGAAGATTTTTTTGTTTCCCTAAAATCAACACAGAAGGCACTGTCCAAACATATATATATATATACAAATGCTTTCTATCCACATAACTTAGGCGTGACATGGGTCATCGCATGAATATGACGAATATTTGATTTAATTATCGGAAGCCATAGGGGCCGTAATTTCTAGTCACGCAGCCAAAACTATGGCTGGATTAGAGACAGATACGTAGTAACTTCCCATTTTTGGCTACAGCACACAATTTTTGAAACCGGTTCATCCGTGATATGTGCAAACCAAATACAATCAAATACAACCGGACTCGGTGCTCGAACAATGTGCCTCTCCATAGCTCCCAAAAGTGTCGTCAATTCTAATTCCATTCACAAGGTGGCCAGTGGGATAACAGGACCAAAACCATACAAATTTTCCGGTTCGCTTTTTGGTTCTGGTATCTAGGCTATCAAATCAAAGGTTAAGCTCGAGACAGCATGGTTACTTTAGTAGGAAAGGTCTCTTTTAGGTTTATCAGGTAATCTAGTTAGTGATTATCCCGGAGAGGAATAAGGCAATTGTAGACGGGTGTGTTACGGAGAAAGAACCTGTTGCCTTCAGTAAGCGAAGAAGGAATGTTTTACAAGTTTAGTCGTAAAAATTAAATGCAAATATGCTCTATTATGAGGTGAGCTGTTTAGAGAGTTTCGTCAACTAAGATTTTCTAACTAACCCACTTCCTCAAGTCTTTCATTCTGATATTGTATTTTGATATTTGCATTCTAGAAACCCAAACAAAAGCCTGCGGAAGGATAACAGCGAAAATTCGTCAAATTACTGGCCGGAGTACGACGATCACACAAAGGTCTATTTGAATATTGGTAAGTTACCTATTCCCTTATACCAAGTACTTATGAACCGCTATAGGCAACAGCGATCCGTACTAATAATGCACTGGGAGCTCAGTTCACTTAGTTCACATCAGTATTCGTGGCACCAAAAAATACTGATGATTCAGACACTGTTATTCTAGGTATATAACCGTCGTATTTGTCAGTGCAAAAATACCACCGCAGTACTCCATTTCGCAGGGGAATTTTCCTGCCAAAACATGCTGGTAGCTAAACACCCTTGCTAGGTGCGATTTAGATGAAAGACAGCAATTCAAATCCAAAAGCAATATTTGGTGGTTCGCACAGCCATTGAGGCTGTTCGCACAGCATTTTGGCTAAAATTGGCCGAAAAATCCAGGGAATCTTGCAGCACCGCACTGAAGGAAACATCGGTGTGCTAAACTAGTCAGCAATTTGTCAGTTGCAAGCACTCTGAGTTGTGCAGCATGAATCTGATATTAGAACAATAGTTCCACCACTCTTCAATATACCAGACAGCCCTTTCACCAGTATCTTCTTGGAGTGTAGTTTCAGGTCAGGACAGTCTCACATCGTATGCGTTGTGAAATTTTTCATTCCATCAAGGTGGATTCTCCACCTAGGCACTTTTGGTTGGGGCCTTTCAGAAGAATTCCCAGTATATCTCAGTATTCAAACAAGGGATATAAAACGCCTCTCGGGCTTCGTGTAGCAGGTTGTTCTTCCGTTAATATATATAGGTCAACTCACGCCAATCATTGGACACTGATACGTTATGGAACTTGTAACACACACTGCTTTAGTATTTGTTTAATTCTGTCCGTCATTTCCCAACTCGCTAGATTTATTTGTATCTCAATAAAATCCTGCGTAGATCTGTTACACTGGTGTGTGTGTGTGTAGAGTCTTTACCTTTATTTTGTTCCTTTACGACATTTGGATGGGATTCTAAAGATATCTTTGTGCTGAGCTCGTTTATTCCAATAGACCAGCTCTTCTGATGAACACGGACTCACGAATACCTCGACCGTTTGGACATCCGAGTTCTACATTTTTGCATCTCATCCATTCTTGTGATATTTACTATGAAATAACTGCATCTGGATTACTATTGCGCTTCGTTAGGTAATGCATACCAAGCCACGAAAAAACATGTGCTGTTTCCAATGGTAAAAAATACAGTGTCCCAGCGATATTCCTTCCTTAGCATCATGAGTAAACAACTGTGTTTCGTTCCAGTTACAGGGGGCAGGAGAACGTTTTATCCTGTCCCGAAAGGTTATTTGTATTTCTCTCTGCTTGCAGTCAGACATTTTTCATTCCAGGCTCCAGAAATTCCCGTTCAGACGTCAAAAGCACTGATTTCCCATGTACTATAGAACATGGCAGCCAGGACAAGAAGCTACCTATCTGGACAGAACTGCTTCCAAGACTAGCCGGGCTCCCAAGTACAAAAAAATCTCATAATCCGACACAAAAGCATGAGGAAAACTCTGAGTCCATTGAAAAACACCAGAATACCACGCTAGGATCACCATCCCAGTCCCAGAATTCGGGGAGCCTACAAACTGAATTCGAGCGTTGGTTGCCTGTTCCGGGAAGCATCCAGTCATACCTGTATTTCTTTCACCTGCGCGATAGGCAGCGTGCATGCAGTGGCACTTGCGTGTCAACGAACGTCACCTATTTAACAAGTGCAAGGGTGTTTCTACCAGATCATGCGTCTGAGGAAGACGACGGGGAGCAGGTATCTGGTGGTCAGTCGTTCCAACCAATCTTCGACGATTATGTGGTTCCGAAATTCGAGGTTAGTTTTTACAACCCCCATTCATAACTCTTCTTGAATTCAAATATATTCGTTCTCTTCTAAGAGGGTGGGGTGCAACTAAATTTGTCTTGTGTGCTAACAACTACGGTTATAACATTATGAGTGACCTTTTTGCCTGTCAGGTCTGTTACGTTTGGTTCAGTAAATCTTGTATTATGTACGGAGACTCTGGTGACAGCACCACTCAGTTAGGACTGTTGACCACTTGTTGAGCGATATTTTCACAACGAATGAAACTATATCAGTCCCGGTAATCCGTTCCTGGTGCATGTTTTATATGTGGCGCAAATCAGAAAAAGATTCCGTTTGAACGGTGGGATAGTTTTTCGGTGTGCTTTATAAGGATGAGATGGAAAGAGGAATCCATGGCTAGGGTTGATCTGTTTGTTCTTTTCTTGGTTCGCACGGTGCCGTTACACCTTCCGTTGTTTAAAAAAGGACAAACTATACAGTAAAATACAAAATGATATTGCGTTAAGAAGTTCAAATTTTTTGTCCCGCATCCTTCCGATCGGTGTTGATCTAATGGGAAGTGGAAGGCTCAGTGGAATCTCGAGAGAATTCTGAGTATATTGGATTGTATTAGCGAGTAGCATTGACGTACTTCAAACTTTATATTTTAAAAATACTGGTAGAAACATTTGTCGTTTTCAACTAAGTGGCGGAGTATGAGAGCCGTTTAACCACCCATGGCCATGGGGTTTGGAGTTCAACCAATGGCTGAAATGTCGCGGGTTCGTAACTCTCTGAGTTTCTCGAGGTGCGCACTACTAACAATTTCCAGTAAGAAAGAAACATTTATACGGTTTCGCTCGGTTTTTCAGAATAGCTTGGCCTCACTGAGGGGACAAATTCTCAATTGAAGACCAACAAATTTTCTCACGCTCGTCCTGATTTGGTGTTAGTTATGTAGCTTTACAGTCAGACGAATGGCTCATTTTGGCCTGTATGATGCCCTTTGCGCTGACGAGAAATTTCATCCATTCGATTTCAACCTTCATTCTGTTAGTACTGGCCAACTCTTCGGGAAGGTTTAAGACATTTTATGAGTTTCTAGCATTTTGTAGCCATTTTCTTAACGGCACTGTTCACTATCACGTAGCAAGAATAAGGAAACGGCACCATCAGAACCATCTTAATCCGTGGAACATTTGCGGTCATTTCCATTAAAAACAGAAAGTGTGACAATCACATAGAAAAAAGATCAACAAAGCGCCTTGGAAATGTCTCACTTGTTCACCTCTCAAGAAGGACCACTTCCGAGAAAAAGATGTCATTCGGTTGGTTTATTCATTTTGCCCTAACGTCATTTCGTCTCAATAAGTTCAGACAATGTCAGTATGGATGTATGACACTAGATCGCACATGAGTCTAATAAAAGCACTTATTCAAACAAAGGAATACTCAGAAATATCTGCTAATAATAAACACCTAAGTAATTTACAGCTTGAAACCTTAGTAAATCTGAATAGGGACTGACGATAGACAATTTTTTATTCAGAATTCCCAGTTCCTCAATTTAAACACAAAGAAGTCTAGTGAGCCACAATCTAAGAAGAGAATTACTCGGATCTACCCAGAAACTTTTTTAGCAATCCCGCCGTCATATTCGCACCAATTTGGATTTAACATTTCTGGAAAACATTACCCATGTTAGTAGACGGTAACTGAACTTGAATGTACACGAAGGAAACACTGAACTTTGCATTGCTGCTAAGTTGTCATGGGCCTCACCAGACATCCATTTGCTAATTATCTTAGTGTGAATTTATTGACGTTAGTCCACATTAGCAGCTAAAGAACTGAAAATGTTCTGTATTGCCTGCTGGCAAAAAGCATGTCCGGTAACCATAGAGGGTTATGTTAAACGAGGTAACCTAGTATACGGGACCCCTGAAGCCCACTTATACGATAAGTGGCAAGAAATGAAAAGTGCGATTCTGGCCTTGAACAGTCATGCGTTGAGTTATTCTAACCCTTCTCCAGATGACCAATTGCAAATTTCAAACCACATGAAATAACCCCGACGCCTCTTTTTGAATCATGAACAACAAAGTATTACCATACCGGGTTGAATTCCAGTTGCTTGAAGAACATTCTGAAAGAGAAGTTGACCTCGGGGGTCCTTCAGATGCTTACTCTCATTTTTCAAAATTTTTGAGGAGTGGAGCTTTACTCCCCACATCGGGGGAATCCACTCTCACGTAAAATCGGAATACCTAGTTTTTGAAAACTAATGGAGTCAACCTGGCTATTAAGGTATTTCTCAAAATTGGCAATGGACGATCTTTTGAAACACCACCACCTGTGCAAAAAACTCTGAATACCTCCATATTCACTCACACGTGCCCACAAATCTGTGACTGAAAAGAACGGAGAGCATTCAAAAACGTTTTGGCGTGTCCTGCTGCACAAGCTGTCTACCGAAGCGCAGACCGTTCAGTGAATCCCAACTCATCGTTAAAGTGAGGGAACATTGGGTTTTCTGAACATCTATACACTAACTATCGCTAGGCACTAACCTGGATATTTTTGGCGTTCTGAAGTCCCACAAAATAAACAGAGATTTTAAGGTTTATCTGAAAGTAAAGCTTGATTATCATTCAAAATAGCTGTGAGTGAAATTCGTTAAACATGAGATTGAACGACTGGGACTTGAAACTGTAAACTAATTCTACAGCCATTGTATCCGCGACACTACGTCTTGGAAAGTTTTTACTTTCGATTTTCAAGCAGTTACTCAGGCCGACGTACACTGGATGATACTCAGTGGATGCATTCTTTCTCACGTTCCATATAATGTAATCATGTAATGTAATGTAATTCCAAAACATTACCAATAATGTAATCAGTTATTCTTCCCGTAACTCGACATGTAGGGCAAGCAGCTGTTTCAGCTTCCTCAAACCGAAACCGTCCCTTCAAAGCGAAACGTCGGCGGACAATCCGAAGCGCTCTCGGCACAGCAGAGACGTATTGAATTCAATCCCATTACGAGAACGGCGCTTCTATGGACCATCGCCACAGGTTTGACTCTCTTCCTTCTGAACGCACTGGTCTTCATAGGAATCTATTACCAAGCACACAGACTGCGTTCGGACCATGCAATGTTCGAAGACGTGCCAGCTATTAACACTCAAAACAAGACGCCAGCAGGACATCTGAAACGTGTATCGGAAACTCGATCGAGTAAAGTCAGTGATGTGACTGCATCCAATTCGGCCTGCGTTCCTCAAAGAAAGATCGGGAAACCCAGGCCCAACTATGTATTACAGGGTGGACAGAGCGCAATCGGTAAGGTGTTCTTGATGTCGTACACGTGTGATGTGATTTGTCACTGTGCAATATGGCACAAAGAACTGAGGGACTGCAATAAATAGGAATGATTGTTCTTGCCGGCGTTCACCCTGGAGAAGTTACAATAGAGAGCAGCAGGTTAACTGGTCAAATCACAGACGCGTCTACTTACTGATTAAGAGAAGTGAATGCGTTAATACAGAACTGAAAACTCACACCTCCACTGGTTTTCTTTTATTCAAAGATGGATTTAAACTAGTGAAAAGTGTAGGGCTCCTCAGTGTGGTGTGGCATATTTCATAAAATGTGCTTTTTCTGAACGGCGATACTTGAAATAAAAAAATCTGGGTGGATTGCTTCCTATGATCATGTTTGCAGTATAACAACTATTGCAGGTTGCTCCAGACCGATGGACATCAAAGTTGGTTCTGGCAACCAATGCGTGTATCTCTGTGTTCATGTCTCTTCTATGAGCCCCATACGCTTAAACAGAACTAAAGTTCAACAAATCAAACGACACAATTTGAAACCTGTTCAAGGAAAGCATATTACTGGCGGTGGTTTACATTAGATTGAAACCGTCGAGCTCCACAATGCAAGTGACATCGAACAAGCACCTGCTGAATGATTGCCGAAACACGATACAGCGCACACACAGGCTCAGGTGCATCAAGATGTCCTAAATAGTATTTAGTCTACTCTACCAAATACTCCCTCAAATCAGGCACATGGCCTCCTCCATCAACCACTGCCTACCAAAGTTGATTTTAGCTTAGGTGCAGTTCTTTCACGATATTTCCACTGATAATGCTCCTTCGTGGCGCAACATCGACCTTACGAGTGAAAACCAGAACTTGTGCGAAACCCAACATATAGCGAAAACGTTGGGATCTGAACGGCATCACGATGGCCGTGCCAAAGATTCGTAAAATTGTGTTTTCGTTAGTCTTACTCTCCCCACACAAATGGTTGCCAATAAATTACAATAAACAAATTCATTTTTCTGCCTTCACTGAGCACCTCTAGAATATGTCTCCGTTAACACATGATCGATTTTATCTGAAAATCGGTTAGGTTTTTTTATAATCCAGCGGATGACAATGTGACCTTCTGCAAACTTGTTCATGGAAATTGTGAAAATCCACTTTCTGGGTGAACCATACATTGTTAACCTGAACAAGTGGGTTGATATTTCTGCAAAGTTCGTTTCTAGTCAGAACACCATAACTTGACGAAAACATCCGTTCTTATGTGGTTTCACGTGCGAAGATAATACTATTCCTTAACAGGTTGTTTTACGAAAATTCAAAATTGTTCCATCTCCAACTCTGAGTAGCGGCGGAGAACTGCGTAATTCACTACATGCTGTATGGATGCAAAATTCATTGAGTACTGAATATGATCCAACTCAGTCCTCATGCTTGCACAGCAATCAGTAAATGAACGGTTGTCCTCACTATGGCAGATCGGCGATTGATGCAATCGCCGCGGACATCTATCGCTACTGTGGTACAGAAGTGACATTAGATTCTCTGTCTAGGACAAAACATAGATTCTCTTAGACAGATCATCTATTGCGAATGGAAGTTAATTGTGTGCTCATCAGTGTTTAATCGTTAATTACTCCGAGGCACTTCCAGGATCTGGTATATTGGGTAGTTGATGCTAAATAAAAGACCTCGAACAGTTTTCAAGTGAAGCGAATCGACTACGTTCTTTGATCTATCACATAATAGGCTATATTGGCTAGCCTACGGAGTTCAATTGCTAGACAGCGTCTTCAATGCATTATCATCACCACTGATGGCTGTAACGGAGAACCAAAGACAACCAACGCGGAAATTCAAGAATGAACTACCTAGCCATGAATCTTTGGGAGCTGTTGGTTCCGAGGGAGGAGACGCCCGATGCTGAATATACGTGGCAATCGGCAAAGTAGTCGACCGCGCTGGTGTATTAGAGCTACCTTCCCGCAGCTACATTAGTTCTCTTTCTCACTCCAACCAAACAATTTTATGCTGTCCTAGAGGACGAAAAACAAACCGTGTGTTGTCTAAATGTAACAAAACCTCGAATCATATCCATATTTTTGTCTAATTCGGCAAATGAGAGTACAGACTGCTTGAAGGACCATGGCCGATTTGAATTGTACTTCATCATACGGGTCCACATGGTAAATGAATCTGGAAACCTCAATTCCACATCTCTTTCTTGCCTATTGCATTTGACTTGTTGTCGAAATTCAGACACCCCACCCCAAGAAGGTCCCATCTGCTTATCGTCTATTCCTGTTTTCTGTGGGCCACCACCAAGCATCCAATCCTCTCTTCTCATCAGAAATCACTCCCGTGAAAACCAAGTACTACAATTGCTTGTGATGATTTTTTATACCTTCTGAAGTTCAGGTTCACTTTGTTTGCTTAAGCGTTTTTATTGTTCTCCAGAAGTCTGTCATTTGTTGCATCGTTTTAGTCCCTAAATCTGTGTACGTACAGCGACTTTGTTGGACATATTTCATGAATCGACAACTTAGTAAGTTATGATATCTTAGGGAATAACGGTCTTACCAATATAGAAACTTGAAGTAACTACGTCATAGCCGATAAGTCAACATCTCTATCCGTATCTATCAAACGTTTCTCCGCGGTGACCAAGATATTTGTGCATTCGCTAATAGTGATGCCGAACTCGGTCAGTAACTCAGTATTTAGGGTAATACCCCTCAACGGAGATTGTCAAACTTGGAACGCACGCACGAGGTTGAGACAGAAACGAAACGGGTGAAATCACTAGTCAAGAGATCCCAATGGTAATCCACAACTAGGGTAGGCGCCGAAAATCCTGACAGTTGTTGATGTCCTAGCATGGGTTGAGCTGGGCGGCAGAACGTTGAAGGCAGACTCACATCCATGTCTGATAGACTGGCCGTATCCCCAGTAAAAATCGTTTTTGTTAGACGTTTTCCCCCTGTATTACTTTTAAACCAACTACAATCGTTTTCTATCAGTAACCAAAACAATGAGTTCTTTGGCAAGCTACAAAACACGGTTTATCACACCAATAAAACCATCTTTTCGGTCATGGAACTTGGCAGTAACGAGACAAGACGAAATGCTTGCACCTACTTATTGTTGCGTTCTCGGTATATTACCCAAGTTTCTAAGTGGAAGAACTGTTTTGAATACCTGTTAATACCAAGTAATGCCGAACAGTTTTTCCAAACATCACCGGTTGTTGTCCGACGCCTCCATAACCTCGAAATTTGAATTTGGCATCATAAATCTGCCCGTCAGTCAGGGATACAACGTAGACCATAAGCTCCCCTGACTAGAGCTACTCCACACACGTATTGGGTTCCTGGTGGACTGCCTCAATATACAGCAACCAGTGTACATCGGACTTTTGAGCCTTCAGTTCGGCTAGATTGTTCGTGAGACTCCTTAAAAACGATCTCGTCCGATGAACCGTTCAGTTAATTAACCAATTTCGTTGGCTGTATGGTAGAGAAATTCATATAGTCCCCGGGAATCACGAAGCTTCAGCCGACTCCCATATATCGGAGTCCTAACTAGAATTTGACTCGGCTGTTCAAATTCTAGTTCAAAACTGAACTCTGATTACGCTTTTGGGTTCACTTACTACGTTTGTAACTACCAATAATATATTTTGATGAGGAACTACCTTCTTCCAAATGCCTAGCATGTACCTGTAAACCATCTACTTATGTTGAGCACACTCATGGGGAATACTTAACCACGACAGACGACCTTTTGAAATGTCCTTGTGAGTACGCGGCCAGTCTGTCTAATGACAGTAACTTCCCTAGGGTTAGGTGAATTGTCCACAAGTGAGTAAAGTTGCAGTGAAATACATGAACTGAACACTTCAATATTTTAATGTCTTTTCTAGAACACGAGCCAGTTAACTGTGAGGACCAGGGTGCGTCGAGTACCCCACTCACTCCCCTACCTTCTCAACCACCAAGGCCATCAGATGGGGGACCAACGGCTACCATCAGTCCTATTCCGCAAACACAAGGATTCCAACATGTATCGGATAACGCAGAATACAGATGGCAATCAAGCAAACCCATGGTTGACCTCAGCACTCTCCGTCGTATGCAACTGCCATTTCCAGCCACTCGAAGTCACACACTTGTGAACTCGAGTGATGGTGCGACTCAGCAAGTTTATTTCGGGCCATATTGCGCATACTGACGTCTGATACGTAGCCAGCAACACTGAGGATGTCTGGATCTATTAATTTGCTAGCCCTACGCTGAAATCTCAGATTTCCAACTGAACAACTCATGTTCCAGTATTTACTTCATTGTAACCGGACACAATTGAATGTAATGAAATGGTCCTTCATATTTTAAACGAAGCAATATGCACATGACATGGTTGAACCATGATTCTATATTGAACTTATAATATAAACCAACCTTTGCTAAATACATGTATGCAACGCAGACTGTCTTATCAACCGTTCTAGGGTCCAAAAGGAAATGTCCTGAGTCGATAATTTAAGGTTAAGTTACTACGGTTGAGCAAAATTATACACATTTCGGCTCTTTGACAAGCATTAAACGGACATTGAGTTGAGTCCATTTACGCCAGTTATCAGGTTGTGTAAAATTGTTCGTCGGTGCAAACCTCCGGGGAACACTCAACAAAGCTTAAGTTAGCCGAATCACCTATTGATTAAACAGGTGATGAATGGCCTTCTGTTTCCCGTGGAGTACAACATTTATGACGTTGATGGCACCACCGTAGGCGTCCAACTATCGATACGAACCACGAAATGTTTTTTATAGGGACCGATCACTGTATAAACAAAATCACTTACCAATCTTCGAAATGGCTGACTAACCTCCTGAAGATTTTTGTGTTGTGGTAACCTCCTTCGCTGCCAGGTGACTGTTAAAAGGTTGAGATCTCCAGCAGTGCTCTTGCGAGATTGATGGCTTCTTCTTAAACTGATGGTGCTCAATTCTTAGTTTAAGTTAAGCGACACATACGGTAGTGCTATTTAAGGCAGGCCACAATGGACGGATAATAGAATACAGTAATTCGCAGCACCTATGTCCATTGTACTGAATAAAATTTCTTCTTCACACTTCCTATTCTAGACAGGTGGGGGAACACTGAGTTACTCATTCGTAACGAAATAGATTTCAGAGACTGCCGACCGTTAAAACTCGTTTCAACTGGCCTCCTCAACGTGTATAAGAACCACAATCTCGCAGGTCTAAGACACTTGTGTTCAAGGTGACGGGCGCTGGACTGTTTTGAGGATATACACACCCACTGCCCCCAAAAGATAACCTGTTCACACTCCAACTTTTCGTGTCGCAACGAAACTACACATTTATTGATTACTTCCCATGAAACAGTACGGAAAAATATTCACGCTGTGAGCGAACGAAACTGGCCCAAGGCACAAAGTTGTGATAGTCCTTCCTCGGTTGGTACACTGAAGCCCATCTGAAATCTTATACTGTTTTTACGTTGAATCCTGAACCCTGCAAAACAGTCTTACGCGTGTAGCGGACATTTCCATGTCCCCTCAACCAACTTCACTTAATTTGTCCAGTACATGGGTGTTTACTAGATCCCACGACTTACCTGCTACACAAGCACACAAGTCACCTGACATACGCCGTTCCACCCGCAACCTTGACCGACTACAAGTCAGTTCCTGTCTTGTACGCATCGGAACGATTCATATTTTATACACACATCAAACTTTCTTATATATAGGAAGCGACAACACAGTCAACACGCATGGACTCGCGCGCGCGCAGGGAGCAAGTAGTCAGCTAAACACTTCAAGTCCACGGACAATCATGGAATACGTGTAGCAGCCAAACTGTGGAGAAAACACGTTCCCACCGTCCGGACTTCCATCAAGGAACTCTCACATACGATAAGTTCCTTTATTGACTTGCTCCCATTTCGCATTGTATTCATTTTTATACGTGTCGCAACCACACTAAATATCTCTATTAGTGCACATATGCCTTCTGAATTGCATTATGCTCATCATCAGCTGAGCACTAATACGCGCACAACGTGCACAGGTGACGGAGAAAGCCACTCTAAGTTCCGATCAGTCGCCATTCGGAGCAATACACCAGTAATACATACTGGGGCTTAAAAGTTACAAGTTAACTTCACAACTGGTTCAGAAACCTGAACTTTAACCACAATGTCCGAATTGATTTGGATGATGCAATCTTGAAACAACGGAAACGACTTTCAATCGAGGGTCTAGAAGTGATTTTTATACTTTCTCCGTCCGTTTGGATGAAATTAGGCAGAAGGCGTTGGGAAGAAGCAATGATATACTGCCTTAAGGGTCTATCTCACCAAGGTAACGCTTCGATTTAATTTAGTTTACTAGCCATAAAACATGCACCAAGAATGTGTTAGTTTCGGTCATCGGAAAATGGGAGAACGATATCGTACTGGAGGCGATGGAGTGATCCGTTAGTTTGTACCGCGCCTAAATGAACCGGATAGTGTAGGCAATATCCTTAACACACTAGCGTCGTATAGATCACCCCGTCGCAATGCACGCTATCTTTGACAGATAAACTGACATTAAACCGGTGCCATAGGTGTAAAAGACTGGAAAAGCTACCCTGGCCTTTCCTATACGAGAAGGAATCTCTTCTTCAGCCACTCCACCGGAACATATACGAAACGAATCGATCTGCCACGCCATTTGGCTCGTTTCTACGCGTGAGGTTCGAATTAGATTCCACCAACTTTTGAAGTATTCTACACTCTGCGGGTGTAAAGCGCACAAGAAACCGTGCGGTCGGATTTCCAGCCCCACTTCAATAACAGCTGAAGAAAAATGATGCGAGTGGATAACCTTGTCGTGCACATCTGAATATCATGAACACGGGCGACGCGTCCACATGAGTTGCCCGCGTAAGGAATAGGGACACACACGATCACAAGGCACGATCATCATCATCATCATCAAAGACAGCAACATCAGTGTTGGCACTGATGCATCACCGCCGTACAACCATAAGGTTCGTCTA